AAAAAAAAAAAAAAGAGAGACTATGTCTCAAGAAAAAAAAAAAAAGAACTTGTGTGTCCCTCAAAGCCTTCTTGCAGTTGCCTGGACTTGGCCTGTGAGTGAGTCTTGGGACCCAGTGGGCAGTTAAGGTTTCAGTCAATGGAGGGGCACAGGAAGCCTGAGCCCCAGAGAGCCTGGCAGAAGCCTTCCCAGCTGAGTTCTCTGAACGAGTGCCAGTGGCTGGAAGCAGGTCTGAATCAAGTACAGTAAGGGAGCTCCTCAGGGCCCAGGTGGGCAGTCACCACATCCTGAGTGTTCCACAGAGTAAGAGGGAGAACATTTCCAGAATAAGAAGGAAACACGACAAGACTGCTATTATGAGTTGGGTTGTTTGCTGGGTTTAATGTGAGCCTTTTTTTCCATTTCAGGATACCTGCTACCATCTGTTTTGGTCAGGGTGCATCTCGAGGATTTAAAAGTACCAAGAAAAAAAACAAACACCACTGATGAATTCAGACAGAGAACCAGGCATCTGCACAGACTCAGAGGTGGCAGGTGGAGGCAGTTGCCTCTTGTCTGGTCTGTGTCAGTAGTGGGCCTTTCTCTGACACTGTGGTGTAGTGAGCCCAGGGCCAGGCCTTTGCCATTCTCCATATCTCTGTCCCCAGGTGAATTTAGCTGTTACCACAACCAGTGAGGGACCTCTGGGAACAGATGCTGGGAACACTTACATACTGTGGGGAATGAGATGTGAATGGCTTCCTGCCCTATGCAGGACCCAGCCTTAGAATATCCTTTTTAAACACATGAAATAAATATTCTTCATATTGATGAAGAATCATTGATGATGCTCTTGAGTTTTCATTTCTTTTTTTTTAAGAGATAGAGTCTTATTTTGTCACCCTTGATAAAGTGCTGTGACATCATAGCTCATAGCAACCTCCAGCTCTTGGGCTTAGGTTATTCTCTTGTGTCAGCTTCCCTAGTAGCTGGGACTACAGGTGCCTGCCACAACACCCAGCTATTTTTGTGTTGCAGTTTGGCCAGGGCCAGGTTTGAACCCACCGCCCTCAGTATATGGGGCCAGCGCCCTACTCACTGAGCCACAGGCACCGCCTGAGTCTTCATTTCTGTGTTGAGCTGGATAGGGGAGTGAGCAAGTATTACCTGTGGCTATTTTGTTTTCTAGCTTTCAAATTTCAGGGAGATTCTGGAGCCAAGAGCCCTGAGAGGTGGGCGACCAGGAAGGGTACACACCATGCCGAGTCCCTGCCTGTGCTGTTCCTGAGAGAGTGTAGGGGAAATTGAGCCCTGATCTTTAGCATAAGATTTGCTTCCTGCTTGAGAGACCTAAAGAATCACGAGAGTGGCTCGGCGCCTATAGCTCAACCGGCTAAGGCGCCAGCCACGTACACCTAAGGTGGCGGGTTCGAATCCCCAGCCCGGACCCGCCAAACAACAATGACGGCTGCAACCAAAAAATAGCCGGGCGTTGTGACGGGCGCCTGTGGTCCCAGCTACTTGGGAGGCGGAGGCAGGAGACTCGCTTGAGCCCAGGAGTTGGAGGTTGCTGTGAGCTGTAATGCCACGGCACTCTACCCAGGGGGGACAGCTTGAGGCTCTGTCTCAAAAAAAAAAAAAAAAAAGAATCACGAGAGTGGCACATAGGTTGTGTACGTGCAGGAGATCAGAAAACTGACCTCCAAGAGAGAATAGAATGTATATGTAAGGTGTGGCAATACCAAGCCTTATAGTTAGGGTAAAGATTCTCTAGGTTCCAAAAGTCTCTTGATGCTGGAGGCAGAGATTGTGCTCAAGGTCTGCAGTTTTGCAAAAACAAAGGTGGAGACCTATCTGACCTTCTCCCATGTCCTTCCTAATCAATGCTGATGTCGACAAGCAGCTTTTATCTACTTCTTGTTTTATGATAAATACTGACCTGAGGTTTGCTCAGGAGGGCTCCTCCCAGAGTTTCTTAGTCCCCTGGCACAGACTGTGTCAAGCCTCTTCATTCCTCCTATCAGAACCCTTAAATCTGATGACCCCGAACCCCTTCAAGAGATGCCCAGTTGTTTTTGCCACCCTGCTTAGTGAGCAAACCCAGTACGGCAGTGATGACTGGAGAGGTGGTCAGTGCTGGGAAGAGTATAGGCCAAAGCGCTGGATGGACATGGCAGGGAGGGTGGTGACCTGGCAGGGCCTGTCCTGCAGAGTATACAGGACCCATCTCAAGTGCCCTAGCAGAGGGTACAGAGCTTGCAGCAGGAAAATCAACTTGGAAGTTGGGGGCAGGCATTTGGAGCATGGAGATGGGCTGGAAGGGCACCACATGGCTAGGACAGACCTTCTCCTACAGAGGCAGGGGGGTCCCAGGCAGCCTTCTCTGAGTACAGGAGCTGATCAGATAGAGCCAACCACACCTCACCACAGGCCACAGCAGAGCAGCCACTGCAAACACCTTTCTCAGAGGCATCCGGCATCTAAAGGGCAGAACTGGGACCAACTGCAACAGTTGATGGGGCATAGTAAAGACAGTCACATCTTGCTTAAGGATGGGGACACATTCTGAGAACTGGGTCATCGGGATTTCATCATGTGTGAACTTTCCAGAGTGCGTGTCCACAACTCTACATGGGACAACGCCCTGTACACCTGGGCCACACACCTGCACAGAATGTAACTAGTGTAGTGACAATAACTCCATAGTGTTTGTGTCTCTAAATATATTAAACATAGAGGGCAGTGCCTGTGGCTCAAGGAGAAGGGCACCAGCCCTATATACTGGAAGGGGTGGGTTCAAACCCAGGCCCGGGCCAAAAAAAAAAGAAAACAGGCCTGCTTGAACAGGGTGAGAACACAATTCTTTTCTGTAGGCCTTGCCTGCAGGTCTACAAGGAGTAATTTCTCAGCCTCTGGAGCATTATAATTAGAAATGTACTAATTACTAATCATCATCCATGTAAAATTAGGAGCTCACTGTATGGTAGAGACAAGTCCATGGTTCCTCGTTCTGAATGATTTTCAAAGTACAACCTGAAAAAAAAAAAAAACACTCTCTGATTGTGTAAAGGAATAATGTAGCTGTTTGGTGTAGGGTTTGGAGGAGGTTGCTTTTTGTTTGTTTTTGAGACAGGGTCTTGCTCTATCACTCAGACTGGAGTTCAGTGGCAAGATCACAGCTAACTGCAGCCTCATACTTCTGGGCTCAAAGGATGCTCCTGCCTCAGCCTCCCAAAGTGCTGGGATTACCAGTAAGCCACTGTACCAGATTGGGTAGTATAACAATATACCATATTAATATTAATAATAGTATCACACCAGAGTGCTGCAGCCCATGTGTTCAGAAATGCTTCCTGCAAGTATAAACCAGGGAAGAGGGGGCAGTGAGTCCGGAGCAAGACTAGGGACAGCCGTCCCCCTCTGCTGGCACCAGGCTCACGGCAGCATACACACTGCCCTGCAGATGACATGGAGACAGGACTATCCTTACCTGTGCTGGGATGAAGCACTGCCCAAGTGGTATGTTCTGAATGTTCCACACACACAGCACATGTAAATGGCATGTTCTGCCAGGTACAACAGCCTCTGCAGCCCTTGCCCAGGTCTGGAAGCTCCGGAGGAGACCTCCACCCTTGGGACAGCTACTGCTTCCTGGTCATTCAGGACGTGCTGGTCAGGCTTCAAGAGTGCCTCTCCCCTAGCAGGACTGACCCCAGCATTGGTGGTGCACAGGCCCAGCCTCTGTGACCTGGGGGGGCCCATGACTGGGATGGTCTGGCAGCGGCTGCACATACCTAAAGGCAGGTCTGATGGGCACTGCTGGGGGCTCTGGGAACCAGCCACCAGAATGGGGCCCAGAAAGCAGTACCCAAGGGAGCCTGCCGAGCCCCTTAGCCCTTTGGGATGTGACCTTAACATTAGGCATCTTGAGGTGGGCCCCAGGACTTAGTGGGCTCTGGTCATCCAGAACCAGGTAGCCTGTCCGTTACTTATTTAATAAGACAGATGAGGCTAAGACTCAGAGGACACTGGGTCCTTTGTAGTCTAGCTCTCTCCACTTAGGCCTCACCAAAGGCCACCCATCATCCATACCTACCCACACCTTGGCCCATTCCTTGGTCCTGCACCCCCAGAGACACATGGCCTGCCCTGAACAGCTCTCCCATCTACCCTGTTAGGTGGTTACCCTGCTGGGCCACAAACTCCCAAGGGCAGGGTAGTGTCTCCAAATCCATCAGCAGTGACTGGGCATACGTTGGGAGTCAGGACTCTGGGGTTCTGGGTGTCCATCCATAACCTCCCAGACCTCTGGCCAAGAGACACACTGGCTGATGTAGGACAACAGGTGCTCACCACCCAGAGTTTCCAGGGACCCAAGTCCTATAAGAAGGTCCAGCAGGCAATAGCCCTCTTGCCTCTGCCTGAGGACCACAGCAGAAAAGTCAAGCATTAAGTTTGCTTCAGTTGGCTCAGCATCTGTGGCTCAAGCGGCTAAGGTGCCAGCCATATACACCTGAGCTGGCGGGTTCGAATCCAGCCTGGGCCCGCCAAACAACAATGATCACTGCAACCAAAAAATAGCCAGGCACTGTGGCGGGCACCTGTAGTCCCAGCTACTTGGGAGACAGAGGCAGGAGACTCGCTTGAGCCCAGGAGTTGGAGGTTGCTGTGAGCTGTGATGCCACGGCCCTCTACCCAGGGGGACAGCTTGAGGCTCTGTCTCAAAAAAAAAAGTTTGCTTCAGCCTTGACCCACAAGTAAACACTATTTGGGCAGTCACAAGGCACCTGCTGGTGTGACGTGCAGGTTCTCTCTGGGGGAAGTCTGGGCACCAAGCCCTGGGACACTGAAGGACCTTCCTCAATGGAGAGCCTGGTTGTAACGTTAGCGAGACAAATCAGCAAACTCATGTCTCATTTGAGTAGCAGACTGTGCCACCCAGCACTCTGCCTGCACTGCAGCCCACACTGCATGGGTCAGGATGGGGCCTCAAGATAGCGGGGCTGCATGTGCCCATCCCTGCTCTGCCTGGACAGAGAGCTGAAAAAACCCAGGGTTGGGAAGCTGGGGTAGGACCCTGGACAGTCAGCACTGCACACTCATTTTCCTCCTGTGTTGGTTTCAGGATTATTGTCTCAAAATCACTATGAGTGGGTTGGGCACCGTGGCTCACTTCTGTAATTCCAGCATTCTGGGAGGCTGAGGCAGGTAGATTGCCTGAGCTCATAAGTTCGAAACCAGCCTGAGCAACAGCAAGACCCCATCTCTAAAAAATAGCAGGACGTTGTGCTAGGCGCCTGTAGTCCCAGTTACGGGAGGCTGAGGTAAGAGAATCACTTGAGCCCAAGAGTTTGAGGTTGCTGTGAGCTGTGATGCTATGGCACTCTACCAAGGGCAACTGAATGAGACTCTGTCTCAAAAGAAAGAAAGAGAAAGAAAGGAAGGAAGGGAAAAAAATCCCCTAAAAAGTAAGTTTCCATTTGGTCATCACAGCAACAAGTCTATTTGTAAAGTTTTTTGTTTGTTTGTTTGTTTTTTAGCAGTCCTGGCAGCAAATTATTATTTTATTATTATTTTTTGGAAACAGAGTCTCACTATGTCACTCTCAGTAGAGTGCCGTTGTGTCACAGCTCACAGCAACCTCAAACTCTTGGGCTAAGCAATTCTCTTGCCTCAGCCTCCCAAGCAGCTTGGACTACAGGCACCCACCACAATGCTGGGCTATATTTTTGTTGTAGTTCTCATTGTTTCAGCTGGTCCGGGCTGGGTTTGAACCCACCAGCCTCAGTGTATGTGGCTGGTGCTCTACCCACTGAGCATAGGTGCCGCCCTGGCAGCAAATTATTTTAA